GTGCGGCAGAAGGAAAATCCGTACATTTATGATGGAAGCATCATCTTACGTGTACGACGAAAACGTAAATGAAATCAAATGAAGTTTAAAACAAAAGCTTCTCTTGGCAAGTCAAACAAGAAGCTTTTTTTTGTTGAGGTTCCCCTTGAGTGTCCCCTTTTTCTCTTCCAGAAAAATGGCAAATTGGTTATCCAACACACACCCACACACATCCAAAAGAAGCCACATGATTATAAAAGTTGGCTTTTATAACAAACAAAAAGTTCTTTTGTTCGTTTGAAAACAAAATAAGTGAAATTACATACAACTATATTTCCCTGTAATATTTTCTACCATATAATAGAAAGGAACGAAAAACAAGTATCAAGGCTTTACTTTTACCATAGCCCAAAAGAATGCACCTAAATTAGTCAAACGCATAATTTAATTCATCCCTAATGCCTCAATTGCACTAATTAAAGGCACAAATGGGAAATTAGCATTTGTAAAGCAGAGCACCATAGATTCAGTTATAACCTAGATATTTTTTTTTTTTTTTTTTAGCAATGCCTCCTGGCATCAAATGGACCCAAGAGCCATTCTTAGGAAATAGAGGATTTTCTTTGTCTTTCTGGTATTGGGCTTTTGTGAGTGAGCACACCTACCATAGCAACAATTTTGTGAAAGCGTTCTCAAAATGCCAGCTGTAGTCACTGGCCAAAAACTTGCAAACCAACATAACCCCAATGTTTGGAATTAAACATTTCTCCATAAACAGTAAATACACCCAAGGACCTTCCATTTTAAAAAAATAAAAAATTGTATTTGACTCTATCTAATACGTTTGGTGACAAGTTGGTGTAGCAAAAAAATAGCATGAGCTTTAAGAGATATTCCATTTCTATATTTGTTCCAAGTTATATTTCAGGGACATTTTACATCAGAATTGCATTTTTATTTATATCTACTTGGAATTAAGTTGTATTCTTTTCCGTGGACGTTACGTTTGAACCAGCTACACAACTTCCAACACACCTAACAAGATGCAATTTCAAACATCTGCAGGACATTCAGTTGGGTGTCAGGTTGTAGAATCAATATCTTTATACTTCAGGTTGTAGCAGATTTAAATCACTCTGTAGAAACCCACTCGGAGAAGGCAGGTGAAACATTACCAAGACATAAACTAAGTGCAAATAGAATATATGTAGCTCAGGCTTGGGGTTCTCTGAGCTTGGTGGTTTTCTTGCAGACGTTTCATTACCCAGCTAGGTAACATCTTCAGTGCTAGAAAGGAGTGGGGTTTGCTCCCTGTTTATATATAGTAGCTTGCCCTGCCAGTGTGCTTGATTGTTTTGTGTTAATCTTGGTGTTAATCTCTGCTTATCTGGGTGATGATTGCTGGCAAGGAGATGTTCTAGTAGTAAACAATACCCTAATCAAGGAACTACCAAGGAACCCCCACCCACCAACAAGCTACTGTATATAAAGAGAGCAAACCCCACTCCCTTCTAGCGCTGAAGATGTAACCTAGTTGGGTAATGAAACGTCTGCAAGAAAACCACCAAGCTCAGAGAACCCCAAGGGCTCTACATATATTAAGGCCAAGAAGGGAAGAAGGCGTTAGAAAGAAACCGAATGTCACCCCACTTTGGTTCTCTTTGGTAAAAGGAGAATGAAGGGGAAATGCTGTCAGGCTTTCACGATTGAAGTCATCTTTTCAAGGTAGGCCAGGTCAGAAAACACACACTAGACGTAATATTAGAATTCAGCTTCATTGATATAGACCAGTGTTTCTTAAACATTTTGCTCTCAGGACCCCTACCCACTTTTAAAAATTATGGAGGACCCCAAAAGAGCTTTTATTGGTATGGGTTATATGGATCAATATTTACCATATTAAAAATGAAAATGGACGCCTTTGCAGGAAGTTTATTTATTGAATCATGTAAAAATAACAATATTAAAAACTCATTAGGTATTAACATAAATACAATATTTTTAATGAAAAAGAGACCTTTTTTTAACAAATAAAAAATAACAATGGGAAGAATGGCATTGCTTTAAATTTTTGCAAATATCTTCAATATATGGCAAATCATTTTGATTTTGCGGACCCCTGGGAGGGCCTTGGGGCGCCCCCAGGGTTCCTCAGACCACGCTTTAAGAAACACTGATATTCAGGGTTCCTCAACCTTGGCAACGTTAAGATGGGTGGACTTCAACTCCCAGAATTCCCCAGCCAGCCTTGCTGATATAGACTACAGTAACAGGATTTTGAAAGTGTTTTCCTTTCCCTCCTGTTTATGCAAAAGAGAACCAAGACAAGGGCCAAGTTGAGTTTCTTTCTAATTCCTT